CAGGCAGGATAAATTCTTGCCATCATAAAATTTTTGTTTGCTAAAAGGGATCAAAAGCTTTTCCCCAGATATTATTTTAGCATTTGGCATCAAAGGGCTGTTGCGAAGACTCTAAGTGCCTGCAAACCGCCTGACACGTAAAGCGCTCAATGCTACTGCAAACTGGTTCAGGGCACAGACTGCAGCCAGTCAGCTGGTGCTCAAGTCCCGTTCTGCCACTTGCTGGCTGTGTGACTCTGAGTATGTAACTTAACCTCTCTGTACTTCAACTTGCTTATCTGCAAAATGGGCATCTGAAAAGTGTCTGACTGAGTTGGAATGCAATGTTAATGCGTGTAAACTCTTAGAACAGAGCCAAGGGGCCAGGCGTGGAAAACCACCCTGCTGCTCCTCGACTTATCCTGAGATGGGTGCCCACCCTGCCCCTCCCGGTCCCTTCAGGTTTTAACTGCTTCCACACGTTTTCCAGTGTCCAAATTCCTCACCCTGGCTCCCCACATCTGCTGGACCACGGAGATGAGAGCCACAGGAGGGTGTGGGCAGAGGGAACCATGGGCCCAGTTTCTCCATCTGCCAGGTGTGGTGCTGGCAAGGAGGGGTGGGGTGGTGGCCTGTCCCTCTGGCTGCCAAGCAAATGACACCCCCCATAGGTGGGAGGCAGCCCCCGCCCCCCTTCACTGGTGTTATGGAGGTTAGGTCATCTCTCTGCCTGCCCTGGTGGCCAGAACTTGGGTCTGTGACCTAATCATGGCCATTGACAGATGGGGGCCGGGGAAGACAGCATGAAAGGGACCAAGAGAACGACAGGGAGACAGAACTCGGGTCCTTCCTGCCTTGGAGTCTCTGCTCCATCCAGCTGGGTGGATGCCTGGGTCCATCCTGGTCGATAGGGTGGGGAGCATCTAAGGCCTCCCCCTCCCCTGGGTTCTCTGGTCTTTACTTCACAGCTTCCTTAGTCGGTGGTGAGGCTTCTTAGGACCCCTAATTCATGTCCACCACTCCTGGGAGTTCACATCTGCTCCTGCCAGACCCTGAGGCTCCCCAGCAGCCTCCGACACCATTGCTTAGTGTCCACACCTGCCCCCAGCATCTCCCCCACCTCCGTGTACCTGGCACGTCCCCAGCTTGATGACCCTGATCCAAACTGTAAGCTGTCCCCTACTTCAGCAGACTCCTGTGCTCAAGCGATCCACATGCCTCTGCCTTCCCAAGTGCTGGGATCACAGGCGTGAGCCCCTATGCCCGGCCAGCCCTGAATGTTCATCACCTGCCTCTACGGGCGTCTCTCGGTCACACTCCCTTTTGGAAGCTACTGTTTCTTTTTTGTTCAATTCATTGCCTCTAACTTCAGAGCCTTACTCACGTGTATTTATCCCCCTTGATTCCCCAAAACTTATCGGCTTACCCAGACCTTCCCCCATTAAATGCTTTCGCTCCCTCCCATATCCCTTCCGTTTGCCTGAGCCCAGCTCTGTGGCATTGATCTGCTCAAAGTTCTGGTCCTTCTGGTGGGTGTGCCTGAGTCTCTTTGTTCTGACTTTACCAAGACATTGGTCGCTGTAAAGACCCCATGTCTTGCAGCATCTTCTGAATTTCTCTTCTCGTTTAAAAACTTCCTCCAATAGCCACTTGGAAAAAGATAAAATGAGACCCATTCCTCACATCACATACAAGAAGGAACTCCAAATAGACTGGAGATCTTGACATGAAGAAGAAACCCGAGGGAACTTCCCTGAAACCTGGGTGTGGGGAGAAGCACCGGCTCCCACGCCAGCACAATTAAAGAAATACTGATACATTTGGCTTCATAAAAATAAACCTGTACCGTGGCAGCAAACCACAAGTGAAGTCTAAAGATAAAAGACAGTCTGGGATATAGACTTTCAAGTGGTTAAGGTGGTACAGTTTATGTGATGTGCTTTTCACCACCATTTAACAAAGAAGGACAGAATGGGGGAAAATGATCCGCAACATACATCACAAGCATGGGGCCTCTGCTGTGTCCCCTCCGAGGTGCTCCCACTGGACAGCCCGGCCACACCCGACGGGGAGGAGACGGCGGCCAGACAGGGAGCACTCTTCAGTCTCGGGGAGGGGGAGGAGCGTGATCGTCACAAACGTCCATGTCAAAGACAAAGAGGGGCTGAGGAAATGTTGCAGATTGAAGGAAATGAAAGAGACAATTGAATGTGAGGCAGGACATTGCTGAGGCAAGTGCTACAGCTGGAATGCAGTTGGTTGATTTAAATATAAACATTGAATGCTCCCTTGAGGGACCCAGCTGCCACGGGAAGAGCAGCTCAGGCCACATGGAGGCCACACGCAGGCACCCCAGTGCCAGCCCAGCTAACGGCCCACAGCAACTGCAGTCACGGGAGTCAGCCCCCATGGAGTCCAGCCGGGCGAGCCTTCAGATGCCTCCAGCCCTCAGCTGCGCCCCGCACAGCCAAGCCCAGCCAATCACAGAACTGAGGAAGACAGCAAGGCGTTCATTGTGTAAGCCGGTGAGGGTTAGGGGGTGTGCTATGCAGCTGTGCAGCACGGGAGTAGCCTTGACTAAAGAAAAGGCTGGCTCCTGGAGGTCACCTGGGAGCCCGTGGCGTGTCCTCCCTGATAGGAACGTCTCTTTTATCTGGGGCCCTGGGCCACAGTGGACAGTCTATGCTAAGGACGTGATTTAGGGTAGGGGCCGTGGGTCTCTCTGGAGGCTACGGTCAACCATGTGGGGTGAGCAGTCTCCATGACCAACCCCTGAAGAAAACCCTGGATGCAGAGGCCCGGGTGAGCTTCCCTAGGTGACCACACTCCAGTACGCTGTTGCATCCACGCGCGGAAAATGAGCGTCGTCCACACGACTCCACAGGAGAGGGCAGCAGGACACTCACGCCCGCCTCTTCCCTCCGCTCATTCTCACCCCCGTCTTTTCACTGTAATGGACCCTAACTGTGAGGATAATGGCTGCTCTGGGTCCCGGGAGACCTCCTGAACTGCAGCGGCAGGGAACCCCGACGCCCAGTGAGTCCGAGAGCCTCACAGCTGCCCGCCTGGCTGGCTCCCGTCAGGTCTGAAGCGCCCTCCCGACAGCCATGGTGGCTGCTTTGGTCTTTCCCAGGGAAACGAATGGCACTGGCAACCTGGGCCTCAGGCCTGTTTTCCTGAAGCCATGTGTACTTGGCTTCCGGACCCCAGCGCACCCGTCCCCAGAGGGCAGTGCACTCACTGCCAGGCTGATGGGCCTTAGAGAACGCCTTCCCAGCACCTACGCGCAATCAGGACCGCAGATGCCTCATGTCTGCCTGGGAGGCCTCCAAAGGGCCCAACACTCCTGGACGCGGCCCTGCAGGAGTTATTTGCTCTAGACCATCCCCCAGTGCCACTTATCACCGGAGAAAGCTGAGTCCGGAGGAGCTCAAACTTGGAAACACAATCTCTCTGGAGGACCAAGGCCTAGCGGGGCAGCCTGAATGGGATCCAACGTTAACCGTGACTAAGAGCCACCTGGGAGTGAGACAAGGGTCCTCTTGGTCTCCCTTGATGACTGGAGACGCCTGCCTCATCGTGTGACGTGAAGAACCACTGCTGGGCCTACCCTGAGCAGGGAGCAGGGAGCGGCACCGTCACGCTTGGTGCTGGAGCCGGCAAAGGGTGAGGAGCTTCTTCAGCTTCCGCTCTGCTCCACTCAGTGCTGGCCCCATCGGCCCCACCCAGGTGACAGAACTCTCCCCGGGAGCCCACGGTGCTGCGGAGGCAGCGGCCACTTGGGCTGTCAGCCCAGAGCTGGGTGGGCCTGGCCAGTGGGACTTCGTGGCCTCCCCACCCTCCGGATCTCCTCAGCAGGCAGGCATGACCCAACCCCGGCCGCTCCTGCGCGCCACCATCCAGAGACAAGCTGACTTCCGATAATGACTTTATTTTAACATATTTAATTACAGACATAAAATAGCTGGGGAGGGGGGTGAGCCCCAGCCTAGCCCCACCATGGGGCTACAGGAGGGGAGGCGCAGGCGAGGCCCCCCTGCTGACCCTCTCTCTGGGGGTCTTCCTATGGCAGGGCCCTATTGCTTGAGTGGGGGAGGAGCCATGCAAACGAGGGGGGCAGGGCAGCCACTCAGCCCCACCCCGCCCCGAGGACGGCCTCCCCACAGAATGCCCGGGCTGTGCCCCCAGCCCCAGCTGCTCCACCTCCTTCCTCTCTGTCCAGGGAGCAGACCCTCTGGCCAGCCCCTGAC